TTATAGGCGCTTTCCGGTATGGCTTTGAGTTCCCTCTGCGAATTCTGTTTTACGTCTTCTATGGATTCAAAACGCGTTCCTCTGAGTGGTAATTTGAGGTTGGGAAACAGGAAAAAGTCACACGGTGCAAGATCAGGTGAATACGGTGGCTGTTCGATGGTATTTATTGAATGTTTGGCCTTAAAATCGTTGATAATGTTGAACAAATTGAGGTGAATCGGAACAAGCCGAGCGTTGACACGTCGCATACACAAATTGTCCACCAAAATCAAACGAGCCATCTCACGACCGATGCCTAGCTCTCGTGCTATCTCTCTAACACTCACATGAGGATTTTGGAACACGATTTCCTTTGCCTTTTCAATGTTTTCGTCGGGGGTAGAGGTCGAAGGTCGTCCAGAACGCGGCATGTCTTCGACGGTCGTACGACAGTCCTGAAAGGCTTTGTACCACTCATAAACTTGAGTTTTCGATAAAACTGATTCCCCATAAGCCTTTTGTAGCATTCGCAAAGATTCTGCACACGAAATTTCGTTCGAAAAACAAAATTTGATGCAAACTCTTTGTTCAATATTTTTTTCCATTGTTTTTTTCGCAACGCACTACTGAGGTGAACTGGTTTAAACAGCTGCCGTAAACGAACTGTCTGACAGATCGCGCTCATTTTTGGCATAGTAATTGTCCTTAATTGCTGCCAAACTACATAAACTTAAAATATCGAAAAATATACAGCGCGCGAATTTTAAATGAGAATTTCCGAAAACTTTTCGGTCACAATGTATGTCTAGTGTCTAATGAATAGTTTCAAACTAAATCGAACGATTTATTTTATAAAAATGTTTAATTCTGTAATATGAATACTGAATGTGAATACTAAAAAAGGGAATATACAATTCCCTTTTTCAAGTTTCGATAAATACACTCGTATCTATTATATACACGAGGGCGGTTTGATAAGTCAGTGAATTTTTGAATAAAACAAATTTTTTTCGCCAAATAAACATTTTATTTTTCTACATTAGCATCTTTTAGCTCGATACATTTAGTCCAGCGTTTTTCTAATTTTCTTATTCCCTCCAAATAATAGGTTTTCTCAAAGCTCTCAAAATACACGTTTGTTTCAGTAATGACTTCTTCATTCGACTCAAATCTGTTACCGCCCAGACATTTCTTTAGGTTAGAAAACAAAAAATAGTCGCAGGGGGCTAAATCTGGAGAATATGCTGGATGCGGTAGCAGTTCGTATCCCAATTCGTGGATTTTGGCCACGAATGTTTAATCAGCACACGAAATTCACTTTTTTTCATTTTTGTAAAAATTCGCGAGGTGGTCTGCTTTGAACGGCTATCAAACACCAACTGAACGACGTAGCTTGATCAAATTTAGAAAGTTGCCCACTGGTAGATTACAGCTGACGGCAGCACTGTTGCCTTTGGAGAACCTGCGCGGGACATTCATAAACTCACTGACTTATCAAACCACCCTCGTATATATGGTGATCTTATTAGGTTTCTGGTTAATGCTTTTGTTACTCATTATTTATTATAAGAAGTATATTAAATATAAACTTTGTCTATTACAATTAAGTTTTATTTGGTTTATATTACAATACACATAATAATAAATTAATTTTGTTCAAAGCAGTACAATTTCTTTTAAAAAAATTATGAATGAAAAATATTGATGAGATTCTTACAATTTACAATATAATACATTTACAAAATGCATGCCGATACAAACACTAAGGAAATCTTAACAACAAACATATATTTAGAGTTTTAGTTACAAAATATAAAATATAATACTTCAAGAGTATTAAAAATAAATTAAACTACATATAATACTATGAAACATATATATTTAAAATACAAACTAATTTTTATTTCTTTATGCGCTAAGTGCATACTTTGGGTCCAAACTTGGTCTTCACACGAGACGGGCGTTATAACTTTTAAAAGCTTAATGAAGTTTACAATTAATGTCGAGTTGAATAGTCGCAACAGGATAACAGGATAATGAATTTGGGGTTTTATGTTTGCAGTTGAAGAAAGCGTACATATAGCAACTAACGATTGGAATTAACTCTGATGAGTGATATGGCACTTGTTTGCGACTTTGAGGTGCTTCTTGTCGAATTTATACGTTTGGTGTTTGTCAAAAAAGGATTTGCTTCTTCGGCTGCATTTATTCTGAAATATATGCATTAAATAAAATTATTTTAATATTATTTAATTTTTTGTTTTTTGTTAAACAAACAATAACTTTTTTATTGAATTTTTATAAACATATGTAAACCAGCGTGCATGTATATAAAACTTTAGTAATTATTCTTATTAAGTAGCAAGCCAAAGATATTATTTTGTGTTTTAGTGATTGAAAACCCATGCTTTAAAAAGTATATACAAACAACGAATAGATAATATAATCGTCAAAACGAGCTATAGTTTTAGTTTTTAGATTTCTATACATAATATTAGCTTTTAAGATATTCAAATTTTGTATCATTAAATTTCAGTGGAAAATTTAATGAAATATTAAACCCGAGAAACAAGTATATTAAGCACCAATAAGGTTATGCCAATTAATTAGACCAACACCAATTAAGAGTTACAAACGATTTGGTTGTGTGTTTTTGTGTTTTCTTCAAAATTTTTACCTAAATTAGAATTTTTTCCATCTTTTGCAAAATTTTGTAAAGATATTTCTTCCGGCGCACACTCTGATTGAGTAGAACTCGAATTACTCGCGTAAGTACTTTTTTCATTATGTAGAATTCTTTCCAATTACAATTTATTAATATTTTTATCAAATTAAATAAAATTGTAATTAAATGACTTACCTCTTTTTTATAAGTTTTTTCACTTTTTTCTTAAGTACAAAAAGTACAAATATTATAATTCCCTGCGCCGCATTGCAAAAGTCCGGTACATAAAAAAATATGGACCAAGTGTTGTCAGAGCCTACCAAATACGACATAACTTCCAGCATCCAAGTAATTCCCATCACAATAAATAAACGTAGGAATAAACCAAAACTGAAAAAAATTTATGTTTTAAAAAAACAAGACCATTTTAATAAATATGTAAATGGTACAATAGTAAATATGTAATAACAAAAATTGAGAAAAGATTAAACTCTAATATTTTAATTTGAATAATATTTAAATTTTGAACATGTACAGTTTATGTAGTGAAGAAGACTTGCATTCGAAACCTCATGTTGTAAAATTAATTTATTGTTTTATATTTAAATAGATATATTCTTAACGAAACAAGAATATTTACTTAAGTAATTAAGTTATATATTACAGATAAAAAGTTGCCTAGCATATACCATATTTTCATGTTAAAAAAAAATACAATTTAAACACTTCTCATATTTAAATGTTACTCTCTAATGTAATAAATTTAGATGGCTAACATATAAAATCTTAAATTGATACTCGCAGCAAAGGGTTAAAATTTAAGGCTTCAAGGGAGACCTATTACAAAAACAATAAAGTCCAAGTTCTATTAGATTAGTTTAAAAAAAAAATACTTCAAGTGGTTTGTTTTGGATTAAATTTTTTAAATATTATTTAAAAAACACTATCTCAATCATTTAAAAATATTTCTAAAAAATAATGTAACAAAGAATAGATTAAACTATCAGTATTTTGATTTGCGTAATATTTTAAAATTAAGTTTCTCATTTGAATTAGAATAATCGCGGACTGACTTTTGCTTTACATCTTTTAAGAGATGAATAACTTAGAAAAATAGTATGAATTAATCTGTAGGAAGTATAAACGTAAAAACATTTCTAATATTTAAAATACATTTAAAATCAAGTTAGTTATTATTGACTAGAATATACATTTCACAAATATTGTAGTATATATATCGAGTATATATTGAACAGTAATGGTGACAGAATGCACCCTTGGCGAACCCCGCGCTTTATTTTTACTTCTTGCGTGAAGAAATTATCAATTGAAACATTTGCGTACTGTTTCCAATATAAGTTTGCGATTATTCGGATATCCTTTTCATCTAATCAGCAATGCTTCAGAATTTCTATGAGTTTGCCGTATTCGACTTTGTCGAAAGCTTTTTCAAAATCAATAACATAAAAAGACATCTCTGTTAAAGTCACGACAACGTTCTTGAATCCAATAGTTTGGTATCTGGCCAGTATTATAAATTTTATTAAAAAATCTTGTTAAATATGTACGCCATTATCTTTAAATAACTTCACCAATTCTCTTGGTATTTGGTCAAAACCTACCGTTTTTCTTATTTTTGCACCATCAATTGCTTTTTGAACTTTATCTAAGGTTATATGTGGACCTGAAACAGCTCTTCGATCGGTAGTCACGGTTGATCGGTTGATCGGTTGTTCGTAAATAGATTTTGAATATAGTTTTTTCACATGCGAGGTGTTTCGCCTTTTTCTGTTATGTATTTACTTTCGTTATTCATAAGTGGCCTTCTCTTTCTTCTATTACATGTCGTCATATTTCTAATTTTCTTGAGTAAGTTAAATACATCGTTCTCCTTTGATACCCCTCTATCTCCTCACATTCCTTTTTGTGAAACTCTCCTTTTGCTTTTCTAATAAGAACACGTATATACTTATATTTGCGAGTATTTTTATTTTTATACTGACTTCTTTCTTCCATTAATGCCAGGATTTCATCTGTCATTCATTTTCTTTTCTTCTAGATATGACCACGCCCACTTCATTATTTGCTACTTTCATTATTGTGTTTTTATTTGTCATAGATATTTCTTCAAGCGGGTTGTAAACTTAATAACCTCATTTCAATTTCATATTCGACTCGCATCCTCAAATCTGGGCTTTTTAATTTTTTACATTGAGTTTACTCCTCTGTTGAGCTGAGCTTGTCGCTTTGAATTTAATGTTGATTTTAACAGCTAGCAAGTTGAGATCAGATGGAACATCCGCACCGAGGAAGGTTTTTGCGAATTTTATTGAGTTCTTATATCTTTCACTTATTGTTATAAAGTCGATTTGGTTACGGATGACCCTGTTTGATGTATCGGCTGGTGACTTCCAGGTATAAAGTCTACGTTTTGGCAGTTTAAAGAATGTATTGGAAATAATTAACTTATTACTTCTGCAGAATCCAGTAAACGATCACCTCTTTCATTTCTTTCGCCTAGGTCAAATTTGCCAACAATTGCATCGTCCGTACCTTAGCCTATCTTGGCATTAAAGTCACCAATAACCATCAGAACATCTCTTAACATTAATAACATTACTATGCGTTATTAAAATGTAGGGAAAATGTCAGTAAACTTATGCTGTGATTCTAATAGTATAATAAAAATCAGTGAACTCCATTATGACACCAAAAACCATTCGAATTTTGGACAAATCATAATATGTTATCAGTTTTTAAATTACTAGCTAATACAAAAAAAAATTTTAAACTTTTAATTTGATTTAATGTCTTAAACGCAACAGTCAGAAAATCGACCAAAATTACATTCAGTTAAATAAAAACTTTATTTAACTGACTATGTGACCATATGTATGTACTAAAATGTATAGCACCACTTTTACCACTCAACAAAAGTGTAAATAATTTTCATTTGATTTCTTACTGCAGTTTCAAATATTTCTACATTTTTTAAAATCACCCTGACTTAATATAATTAATGTCCACTTTAAATTAATTTCCTTAAGGAACATACTTTTCTTTCTCTGACCGCAAACACCTCTGATCATTTTCACGAGCCACAATACGCTCCAAGTCCCTTTTAACTTGATAAATTTTTGTAGCAGTCAGTATAAACATAATCACATTAAATAAAATTAGTAACATTATCGGCCCATAGAAATATATCATAGCTGACCAATCATCGGCTATAAATACAAAAAGAAAATATATATGTAACATATATAATAATTTACTTAATTTTACTTACTTTTAAGCCAACAATATTCGTCGCCAATTCCGGGTTTAATATGATTATCGATACTTGATAGTTGACCCTGTATGGTTGCGAAAGTGAGAATCCCAGCAATTCCCCATGCATAGAGAGAATAAATAACAAAACGTTTGTTTTGCATATAACGGTTAACATTGCAACTGGTGCCTCGGAAATTATGCCAGAGATCAAAACTTATCACACTTAACCATAAAAATGCCGCGATAAAAAAGAAATAAGCCATGAATCCTGTTAATTAATATTGTAATTATATTAAAAGTTTATTTATATATAGAATATATTTGTATTAGCTTTTATATTAAGCAATGATAATTGATTTTCTCACCTACAAAACTGCAAGTGAAATCATTATATTGTTTGCTGAAATAGTTATTGGTTACCAGGACACTATAACCAACCGTTAAAGAAAATAAGTAGCAAATAAGGCATTTTCCATGCAAATTCCTCAATTTCGGTATGAAGATATACACAAAGATTGTCAACACCAAAAAGGGTATAGATATTAACATTGCTGTAATTAATAAGAATAAGTATTTTTTTTTTTAATATATGAGTACCAATAGTAAAGCCTTAAGAGGTTATTAGTTTCAAATTCATTTATATATACCAAGATTGTTAGCGAAGTGATTATTTGACTGCTCTTCATAGTTTGGACAATTCATTGGAGTAAGCAAATATACACCGTTTACTTCATGTGGTGTTAAGCAATAATCACGTTTTGTCATTAAGGCATTGTCAAACAAACGCATCAATGTGCCATTCTTTTTTAAAATTATAAATTGTTTTATACCATTTATTAAATATTATATATTTTTTACCTCGAAGAGTTTCCATTCATCGTCCTCCTCGCTATCTGGTGTCAACTTGTAAGCGTCATAACAGGGTATTCCATGCTGAACATAAAATTCCTCTAATACATGTATGCTCTGCTCCGTACCATTGCTGAAAGTTATATTCACGTAAGGTGACAGTTCAAGTTCTGTTTTAGCATCAATTTCACATTCTCTTAAGTTTTCTTTTTTAATTTGTTTTGGGCGACAACACAATTTAACGCAAGGTTTTAGTTTACAGATACAACCGCGTACATGTTTCCCCACAGTCAATTCAAGACCGTCATAGAGCACCTCATAATCATATTCGCCGATGAGTTTAGGTGGTATTATCACACCATCATGCAAATAGGAACCGTTGTTGTAGCGTAAACTACCAGTTATATTGACAGTATCGTGGAACTCACAATTTGGTATTCGTGCTAAAGTCAATGGCAAAAGAAAGATTAGATATGCGCAACCTAAAAGTAGAAGTCTATTTATGTGGACTGGAGTTCGCTTCATTTTAAACATTTTTGGAGTGCTGTAATGAAATTTGTAATAAATTTCGTTAATTTGCAACAATTGTTAGCTAATAAGCAATATTGTTAATGTATATAGTGTAACATATTATTAATTAGCATATTTAAAAAATTTTTAATTTTTACACGTTAGATATTATATAATTTATATACACATAATTAGATAAAAAGGACGTGTAACATATGCAAATTGATTGACAGTGTTGTCAAGTAAAAATATCTATCCAAAGCATTCAACGTCTTTGATGGATACCGTCAATGTGACAATCTTTTCTACCTTCTCTCCAGCATAAAGTTGGAGAAAGCAATCTGAAACTCTGGTACTTTAATAAGTACTATGGTCGTCAAGTTCAGGCAGGTATTGATATATGCAATGTTGTTATCGATTTATCTTATGATAATAACAATAATCTGTTCATTTGTCTATCTGTCTATAAATCTATTTACTCTTCAGTGAATTGAATTGCCAGTTAATACATAAATTGGTTTTAAACTAAGCAAATGAGAATTTACATAGATGATTTTATAAAGTCAGATAGATAAAATCAATTGATAGTTGGTTCTGTTAAATTTAGCAGCCATACAAAACAACTGTATTTTTAATGTTTATTTATTTTATAAATATTGGATAAATAACTTAGTTTTTTAGAGATAGTGTAAGTTAGGTACCGCATATTAGTACTGCACAATAATTCAAATATATGTATACGAATATATGACGATTTTCCTATGCACCATGAATAGATAAAGTTCCTTTGCCTAGACCACAGAATAGTTCTGGGCCTATAATTCTTGAGGCTGTGCCTCTTCTTGCAAGTTTGTCTGCCATTTCATTGCCTTAGATACCGGCATGTCCCGAAAGCCATATTAGGTGCACCTGATTGTTCCAGCTACGTATGTTCAGCTTGTAATATTATATAATATATTTTTTTTAACACTGTTCTTGCTAACATATATTGCTACATATATTAATATTAAATTAGAGGGATTTTGAATAGCAAAGAAAGAAATAAAGAACAAACACAAAAATTTATTATAATTTTATTGAAGTTTGGCTGACCAGACAACGCTGTTTCGAATATTGCCAAGTACTCTTCATCAGTGGTCTTTGGAATAATCGAATTTTTATTTAATTAGTTTATATTCCGTATATAATTTGTTTGGACTGCAAGTGCCAGGCTAAGAACTCGTGCCTGTCAAATTAGAAGCGATGACTAATCGTGTTTGTCAACAAGAAGCCAAGGCTGCAGAAACTTTCAATGCTCAAGTTCCAGGTTTTATTGTCACTTATTTTTTATTGAATTAGTGACACCAACCAAAGCACTTGCCGTGCTTTAAATTAGAACGAACTTATAAACTACAGCTTTATTTTGGAAACACAAGTTCAACGAATTGAAAGTTAACTTTTGGGTTCGCCTATTGTTTATTTTTTCAAAGCCACTCTTTTTGTAGAGACATTTTGTAATGCATATTGTTTTACTTACTATATGTAAAGCGACCATTCTGGTGCTTTTTACAAAGAAGCTATGCTATGTTATTCTACATATCCGCTTTCGCGTTTAGGAAAAGCTGAACAATAACTTTCTTGATATGAAGTTTCTTTTAAAGCGATCCAACCATCTTTAGGGCCATGTTATGTAGAGTATCATGAGAAAAATTGTTGTAGTTTTATATGCAAATTATAAAATGGAGACTAAGAAAAAAAAACAATATGTCTGTTCAAATTTGGTCATGAGAGCCGAGGCTACCTGTGCCTTGTCACTTAGGCAAAGCACTGTTGTTTAATAATAAATGTCAACATTTGTATCTTTAAGAAACAAATTACATATTACAATTTCTATGACGCTCTGCAGAACATGAATTTTTGTCATGATGGCCAAAAGAAACCAATTTTGATGAGCCCATGACACTACATGGCGTGTTATGCCGTATACTCTTGCATATAACAGTGGTCAATCCCCGCAAACTTCATTGGTAAACGAAAATTGATTATAATTTGGAAGTGTTTATTATTTTTTTATATTAAAAATTCAAGCATAGAGCAATACTCGTTTTTCTCCATATTTACAAACACTTAAAGTCGGACGATGAAAAAAATTAATAAAAAGTAATTTTAACAGTAAAAGCAATTATTACCTTTAGTACAATTCGGGCGAAAAACAGGGTGTATTCCAATACCTTGTGTATACCTTAAGTATATATTTTTATATATCTGTTTTAATATTTTTGTTTTAAATAATGGACGTCAAATTTATTATACAAAACGTTAAGTAGCCAATTTGCATTCCAAAGTGTTTACTACCGCAAATTCAATTTTGTATATGGAAAATTATCAAATAAAATGTATATGGAAATAATAATAAGAAATGCTGTTTGAAAATAAATTAAAAATAAATTCTTTTCAAAAAAAATTTAATTATAGTCAGTTAACTTTAAATGCCCATATTAATTCATATCAAATTAATGAAACTAAACATTAGTAATGGTTATATCCATATATGAGTTTTGTTCTAAAGCATGTTTTGTGTACACTTAACGCCTTTATAAGATAGCAAGATAAGATATCAGTAGAAAAATACTTCATATTCATGATAAGGACTTATAATTCACTTTTAATTTAAATAACTACAAATGTATGCACATATTTACTTTAATGAATGGGAGATTGAGGAACAATGCATGTCTTATTTATTTTTTATTACATATGTTATCTTATAGATACATAAAAAATTCTGTAATTAACACCGTACATTACTCATAGTATTGAATATGACGTTATTTCCTTTTAAATTTATAAATACAAATCAGCCCGCAATTATTTGCTCGCATATCAAAAAGTTTAAATAAAATAATAAAATTAATTACTCGTACGTTCGTTTAATATTTCTGCACAACTGGCAGAACAAAGTACTTTGGAATACAAACTACAGACTGCAGTCGCATTAAAAATATGTAATTATAATACTGAAATGCGAACAGCGGGTGCCATTGAACTTTAAGTACTGCAATAAACTTTCTCAATAACACATTTTTCGAATTCTACAATAAGAATGGTTTTTATTTTCAGTTTTTGTTTTAATTTTAATTACAATTATTGCTTCTTTATTTTACTAAATTGAAAAACTGAAATACATTGAACTTTCTGCACATATCACAGTTTTATATTTATTTACTTTGTATTTTACACCTTTCATATAAAATGCGAAACTATATAATAGTATAAAATTTTCTCAATAAACTTGTGACGTATTAAACTAAGCTTAAGAAAGATTATTTATTAAATCAACAAATTGAATCAATTTTATAGCAATTTACTGTTAACATATAAACCAATGTCTTAAATATAGAGTAATTAAAAATAATCAGGTCTTTTATAAAAGGCTTTTTTGTATACATTGTGGGACGTTGGGACGGCGCACCGTCCAACAGGCGGTCCCACCGAAGTAAAGGATTAGCCAAATTAGACCTCAAAACAACTTGGGTCCTTTTTCGTCTTTTGATTCTCGGATGTCGTTATTGAATTAAAACTAAAGTGACATCCGTTCGCATAACTATATCTGTTGTTATTGCAAGCAGCTCATTTAGCTTGAGATTGACTGCCAAATCATCACCAACCCAATGGTGTCCCAAGACAGTCATCCTCCTGCTAGCCAGTGCTGGACATTGACATAATAATACGCTGCTATTTCCTTTTCTGGTACATATAGCCTGGAAGTCTCTTCCTCAATAAGAATTATCTATTTGTGGTGTTACTTTTAAAGGACCTATAGTTTATTATTATATGTTATTATATGCACATACAATACAATATATACAATCTTATTTATAATAACAAATACGACTTTTTTATAAAAGATCGTCAGTCAGAATTTAAATTAACATTTTAGTTAAAATTAGTTTATATAAAAAAAATAATATTAATTTCATATTAATTTTTAACTTAAACTCATATATTTCTTCTATTCTAATGCATATCTTAAATATTGTATTAATCTCTTCCAATTTCTTACGTTAAAATTAATACTACTATTGTCTAACTTCATTAAGTTATGTTAGATTTCTAAATTATCTTATACTGAACTCTTTTAATTCAAGAGATCTGTTTAAAGAGTTAGAAATGTCTTCTATGTCTCTTTTGTGTCTCAAAAATTACAAAAGCTGCATATTCTAGAATAGTGTTACCCATAATTGTTACCAATCAATCACATGACAACAGATCAAGCTCTTTCATTATTCTTGATACCTTAATGGACTTATATTATAGCAGGCAAAGCCAACAGAAGCAAATGGTTCAATAAGTGAACCAAATTAATATTTCATGACATTAAAATCAGCCAATAGGGTAATGGTTGCGTAGTCACGTGCTGTAATAGACACTAGACACTCAATTTGATCTAAATTTATTTAATTAATTTAAATTCATTTAATTAATTACTTTATTTGAATTACTGTTGAGTCGCTGTAAATTTAACTCTAAATATGTTAATTTGGCTCGTTGATTATATTATGTTTAAACATTATTCCTCCAGATAATATTAATGAGGGTTTTGGCTAATTTTTTTTTTCTGCTACACTTTTGGTATTTCATAAGTGA